ACACTGATTTCCACATCGATTTCGGAGGCACCTCTGTCTGGTACCACATACTAAGGGGAGGAAAGGTAATTCAGCTGGTTTCCTGTCATTTTCAAATCCCTCTCTCTCAGTGCAGTGATAGTGGTTAATAAGATATAGACAATGATCGGACATGTCTTGTTTATATGTGCTTTGGTTTATTGACTAGCACCCATTTTGAACTTTGCTTGAGAAACTGACGCAGCACTAGTGATCTGCTCAAAGCATCTCTTTTGTAACTGTTTTTTTTTAGTGGAGCTCCAGAATTTTAAATTGGATTAACAAATAGCAGTTTAAAGGGGTACTGTTTGATATTAGGAATTAAAAGAACACAATTAATTAACAAATATTGCTTTAGCTCTTTGATACCAGCTCCTTGTACAAATCAAGCCTGTTGGCTTTCACTTACCGTCTACGAAGACATATTGCTCCACTTGTCTTGAACCCCAAGTTGCTATTCTTTAATAGAATTGAAAGGCCCTTTCTGCTGTGTTCAGGGACAATTACTGAGAGACCATCGGTGGTTCAGTAAATGAGCTTGCTCCACAGTTTGGACAAGGGGTTTGCAGGATTTCTGCCCGAATCGTTTTTTTTTTTTGCTTTGGGTTTTGTGTGGAGTTTGGAGGGGGGGGGGGTTTGTGTCCTCGAGTTTTGGGCTTCACGCCCCTGTCAGAGTGGGTCTGTGACGTCATGAAGCCGGGGCACCGTGATTGGACAGAGGGAGAGAACCTCAGCAGCGAGCACTGTGCGCCAGACTGGTACAGTCACACCAGCGCCTCGGCCATAATCTCGGCCATCGATCCCCATGCTCCTGTCAGATTGGGCTGTGACATCAAGCGTGATTGGACAGAGGGAGAGAACTTCAGCAGCGAGCTGATGGCTGTGGCTGCAGCTGCCATGCAGGCTGAACCGATATACTTGGTGGGCTGAATATGGCCTGCGGGCCATGTACTTAATATGATCTAAAGTATTAACCCCCCCCCTTTTGCCCCTTTAGGTGTTTTGGCTGATACCCCCCACTGCTCAGAATCTGGAGCTGTACGAGAACTGGGTCCTGTCCGGCAAACAAGGCGACATCTTCCTCGGGGACAAGGCCAGCGACTGCCAGAGGATCGAGCTGAAGCAGGGCTACACCTTCATGATCCCCTCGGGTAAGGGCAGCGCTGAGGTCAGACTCTGGAGGGTGCTGATCTTGAGTGTTCCCCTCAGGAAGTAGCTCTCCTCTGTGTGCCCACACCTGCTGCCAGAGGCTCACGGGGGAGACGGTAGGCTGGGGTCCCCTCCAACCTGACCAGAGCCTCGCCCGGTGCTCAGCAGTGCCCTTCTGTTTCTTCTCTTGGTGGGACTGTCCGGATCCCGAGCGACAGGAGACCTCAGTGGAGATGGTTGCGGGCGGACCTCCGTGGCCCGGGCGGTGCTTGCCTGAGCCTGTCAACTGCTTATTTAATAATTGCTTACACTTATATAGCGCTTTTCTGGACACTCCACTCAAAGCGCTTTACAGGTAATGGGGATCCCCTCCACCACCACCAATGTGCAGCCCCACCTGGATGATGCGACGGCAGCCATAGTGCGCCAGAACGCTCCCCACACACCAGCTATCAGTGGGGAGGAGAGCAGAGT